CCCCTCCCAAAACCTGCCGAAATTCCTGCTTTTCCTGGCTCGAATGGATTCTCCGGCATCCCGCGCCAGGGCAGCCCGGGTTTCCCAGGCCTTTGTTCATTAGTGCAGCTAATGAGGGTTCCCCAGTTAATCAGGCCTGGGGGTGGGGTGACTGCTGGTTCCCCCAATACTGGGGGGTCTGCAGGGACACAGGGATGGTCCCTTCCCCTCCCGGGGCTCCTGAGGCATCCCCAAATTGCGTCTGGCACCATGTAGGTCAGGGAGCCGGGAATGACAGGGCAGCACAGCCGGAACCCACAGCCCTGGGGCACCCACGGCTGCCTGCAGTGCTGGGGATGCCCAGGGCTGGGGGCTCGCCCGGCCCAGGGGGGTCCCTGTCACCGTGTGGGAATGTGGGGCAGTGGCAGCGTGTTCAGTGTGCGATGTGTGTGACACGTGTGCCGCGGGTCACGCCACCTGCGTGTCCTCTGCGTGTCCCCAATGTCACTGAGAGCTCTCTGCACGCCCCGGCTGCGCTCAGTGTCCACCCCCTGCTCCCCGTGTGGCCCTGGCGTGTCCTTGGCGTGTCCTGGGATCCCCGGGATTGTCACACGCGCTTTGCACACTCAGTGCACGCTCAAGGGGAGGTTTCCAGCCGAGTGCTGGGTCTCAGCTGCCGGCACAGGGACACTGGGACAGGCTCCTCTTCCCAAGGTTTCCCTTCCCGGGACTCATCCCTGTGGAATTGGCTGCCAGGGAAAGTGCACAAAACCACACACGTGTGTGCAAGGCCCCCAGGGGTGTTTGCACAAACACACACACGTACACATCATCATGTCTGGGTGTTGTTTTTTGCTTGTGCAAGTGCTCATCCCAGTGTACCACCCGTGTTTCCCTTGCAGGACCAGGGCTCTCCCTCTCCCCCTTCACCTGCTGGGCGCAGGGTCCAGCCAAAATCCCCCCCTGGGGCCCCCGGGGCTGGGGCCACCGCAGGTCCCTGCCCTGGTGGCTCCTGCTGTGGGGACACACGTGCCCGTGGACAGCAGGAAGGGCCCCGCTGGCCCCAGGCAGCGCTGGCAGCTCACGAGCTCAGGGCTTCCTAATGTTTTTTCAGGGAAACACGAATTTCGAAGCATTCGATCCCCCAAGCCCCCTCCCTCCTCCTGACCACATCCAGCCTCCCAGGGCTGCAAACACGGGGCTGGCAGCAGCAAATTCCCCATGTCCCAGTTCTCCACTAACGGTGAACCCCTGCTGTGTCCCCACGCTGTCACCTGTCCCCGCACCTCTGCGTTCCAACAGGACCCACAATCTTGTGGGGTCTCCAGGAACTGTTGGAGCCCCACACTCCAAGACCGGCCGAGGGAAAACAGGAAAGCGAGCAGGGCTGTGCCGGAAGGCGGCTATTGTTGGCCAGGGAGCAGAGGGAGCGTGAGGGGCAGGAGGCATCGTGGCCACCCTGTCACCCCTCTGTGCCCTGAGCCACTTGTGGCTGCCCACTCCCCCTGAATGTGCCCCTGTGTGGGCTTGGGGCTGTCCAGGGCTTCCACTCCCACCCCACTGCTCTGCTTTGGAAGGGAAAATAAATAAACCTCCTTTTTCCGTGTGTTGCTTCCCTGGCCCAAGGAGGGCCCAGCTTCCCACCCCTGGAAGCAGGAGGACTTGGAGCCCTGGCTCCGTGTCAAATGAAAAAATCCTGCAAAAAACCTGGAATTTCCTGCTGGGCAGGACCAGAGGTTTGACACTCCTGGTGCTGGGGTGGGACAGGAGGGGTGGGAGGGATGAGGACATGAGGGACACAGGGGACACAGGGGACACACTCCCCCCCACGCTCAAGGCACACACAGGCTCACAGCCAAGCTGGTTCCTGTGCTGGTGGATCCTTGATCTTCATCCTCACCTTGAAGCCACTGGTAGAGTTTTGGCAGCTCCAGCCAGGCATCCAGTGCACCCCAAGTCCCCACCCTGCCACCGTGGGACCCTCCCAGGGACGTGGCCCTGGTCTCTCAGTCCCCACCTGCTGCAGGGAAGGGCTGGGCTGAACCCTGCTTGGCTTTCCCAGCTCCTGCTTTACCTCCACATTTCAGGGCTGCCCCCTTGCCCAGAAACTCCCCAGCAGAGCTGCCCAGTGATGTCTCAGGGACAGCTGGGGGACAGGCAGAGTGATGAGGGGTCACTTGGAGGGGGATGGTGGTGTTGTGCCTCAGTTTCCCCAGCTGGAAGAGGTGCCATAAGGTGGGAGAATAGCTGGAACCCAATATGGAAGTTGCAGGGAAGTACATCCTGAGGGAGGGTACAAACACACCTGGGGTGGTTTCACCCCCAAAAAGCCCTTCAAGGGAGGTGCCAGTTCAATGGGGAGGATGCTCCCTCCCCCATCACCCAGTCCTGGCCCCGACACCCCAAAACCCAGGGGACAAGGACATGGAGATGGTGGGATTGGGATGGGGCTTGGCCATCCAGGGATCTACTCTAAAGATGGAGCAAGTTCCTCCAGGAAGGAAACCCCTGCAGCCCCCAAAGCAAGGGACAGGAGCTGTGGGAGCTGTGTTTTTGGGGTGTCTGGGAGAAGGGTAGGGAGAGGGCTCTGCCACAGTGGGAGTCCTACCTTAGTGGATAGCAGCAAATGGGAAAAGAATTTCCAGGAGGACTTTAAACACCCTCCTTCATCCTCCCACTTCTCTGTGAAGGGGGAAATCTGCAGCAGCAGCCCTGACCCACTGCAGCTGGGTCACTCTGGGGAAGCCCCAGGAGTGCTGGGATGTGGCAGGAAGAAGTGCAGGCTGGCACATTGCACATTTTCTTAGAAGGAGCAGAAAAACTCCCAAACCACCAAAAAAATTCCCCTGCTCCCTTGGAAAGGGCACTGAAACCACAGCAGGGCATGCACACCCTGTGCTGCAGGACGTGGGTGCCAGTGGCCATGTCTCTGCAGCCTCTGGGCTTAGCAGGGATTTGTTCACCAGAACCAAAAATGATCCTGGGGCCCCTTCTCCTGGTAAAGCAGCGGGTGAGGAGGGATCTGCTGTCCCTGTGGGGCCGGAGCAGCAGGTGCCCTCGGTATCGGTGTCACCCAGGGGATGGGACATGTCTTCCCTGCTCCAGCATTTTCCCAGAAGCATTCCAGGTCCTGCCCATTTTCCTGGAGCTGCTGGCTCCTGGCCTGGCCTGTGCCATACAAGGGAGAGGGAGCACGTGCCATGCTGGTGACTGTTCCCTTGTCCCAGGAACGGCTGTCACCTCCTTCACGGAGCCCAAAGCTGGAGCAGAGCAAAGCCAGGGCCCTGCCTGGGAGGAGGCGGGTGCAGATCAGGGCTGGGGGGCTGCCAGGGACCCTGGGGAATCTGGCCCCAGAGGCATCAGCTGTCCAGGGAACACAGAACAAACAAAAAGCACATTTCAGAGCTTGGAAAGCGTCCACTGCCTGTGCAGGGATGAGGGACAGAGGCACTCCCAGGGTCTGGGGGCCTGAGTGTGACAGCAGAGCTGTGCAGGGACATTTCCTGTGCCACCTGTGCTCCTGTTTCCCCAAATCAAAAGGTGCATGGAATGAGCAGCACCTCCTGCGGATGGGAACAAAGTCCATGGGCCCATGGTGCCCATTGCCCCACTGGAGGGGTCCCCCCACTGTCTGAGGGACAGTGCCCAGGGCTGGAGGGGCAGGGCAGGGCAGTGTAGGGACATCCTTGTGTCACAGCACAGCCCCAGCAATGCTCTGAGCAGCATCTGCTGCCCAGGGAGGTGGTGGCAGGTGGGGACACCCCTGTCCTCACTCAGCAGGACATGGCTCTGGCACAGCCACACAGCCACATATGCAATAGGAGACCCCCAGCCCCTGTTCTCCCTTGGCTGCTTTCCAAGCCATGCAAAGGCTGTCCCCACTTCCCAGCTTCCCACTTTAAGCAAACCCTAATGGGACTCATGACGGATGCACTTGACCCTTCCACCAAACCAGTGATGGTCTGGTCTGGGATCCAGAGGAGGAAAAGGCCAGAGCCAGGCCAAGGAGTCCAGGAAACCCATGAAGGAGCAGAGTGACCCAGGGAGCACCAATGTGTATGAGCTCAGAACCGATTGTGGGATTAACACAGGGAGAGCACGTGGCTTTTCCAAGACCTGTTTATCAAGGAACAATGAAAGTTGTGGGTACAAGGAGCCCCCTGCACTTTCCTCTGTGAGCCAGGAGCTTCATCCCATCACCCTGCCACCAAGGACTGGAGGGTGCCTTGAGCTCTCCCTGCCTGGCAGTGTGACTGTGCTGTGGTGTCCTGGAGCAGGGACATCTCCCAGGCCTGTGCCTCAAGGAACAGAGACCTTTCCACCAGCAACAGATCTTTGGATGAGTCCAATTTGAGTTCCCCCTAATCTGCAGCTGGACTGCACATCTGTGATCTCCCCTGGAGGTGGGACACATCTCAGGGCTTGGGCTGAGACTGAGAGCCTTCCCCATGCAAGGTGGAGAGACCCTGACTTGCAACAGCTCCTCGGTGAGTTTCTGACAACACCCTGAATCAACACCAATTAAATCCATGTATTTAATTCCTTCATATGTGAGCCACTGTCCAAATCTCAGACTAAGACTGGACCTGGGCTGTACCTAAGGTCCATCAGGAGTTTCGAAAGCAGGGGGGATCTTGTCTGAACCTTGTACTCAACAGAAGGGTCTCTTTCCCTTTTATATCTTCAGTCTCAGTGTAAATCATCCCAGCTCAATTCCATCTTGATTTTCTAGTTTTTGCATCCATGTAGGAAGTACCATAGGGAACCTCATTGTAGTCTGTTAAATCACACTAAAATAACTTTTGCTAACAGTGTTGATGGTGACTCTTTAAGTGACCCTAAATCACTCATCTGTGACAAGCTGATGTTGTTGGCAGGATCCTAAATCTGGATTCATGGCAGAACTGAGGCCCCAAAGCTCCTGAGCTCTTCAGGGTTCAGGGGATGGAGAAGCCTAGCAGGGGAGGATCAGGGTGAGCCACGGCTTCCTGGGAGCAGCAGGAGACCTTGCTCTGAACCACAAGAAAGGAGCATTTCCCTTGGAACATATGGCAGCCACAGCCCCCTCTGTGCCGCCAGC